ACAGTCAGATTCTGGAGTTGCGTGAAATTCATCATTAAACGTATGTACATCTGATGATGATGCTGTATCTATTTTTTTTGGCAGCACATAGGCGTTATCTTAATCACCTGCAATCAAGGGATTAATTTCAATTGTTTGATTTGGTGCCATCCTTTGTGGTTTTTTATCTTTGTCACAAATGTCTCTTAATGATAGAATATTTATAGAGTATGATTCTCGTCTACGATCGTATAAAATTGAAAGATTACCAACGCCCTGAAATAACATTTGATACCCGAGAGATTCGTACTCATTGGTATTCTGTTGTGCATCATTTCTGGCATGAGGAATAATAGCCTGAGAAACGTAATCATTCTTTTTAAATAGTGTCGTCTTCTTATTTAGAACACAATAAAGAATAAATGGTAGTGCAACCACCAACATTACAGATGCTGCTGCAAACAGAATTGATGTGAGCAGAAGATTGTCTAGGGAACTTGGTTTAGAAGTTACTGTTACTGATATGTTTGACCAGGGTAACACTGTGATATTAGTTATACGATAGGAAAGAAATTCTAGATATGGATCATGCTTTCCATCGTTGACTAGTGTTGAGAACAAATTTTGACTTCCTGTATAACCTAGAAAAATATGTGAAAGAGAGTAAAAATTCAAACTCAACATTTAAATTGCCATTTCTTTGATATATGATTCATAATTATAGATAAATGTAGTAATAAATATGGTATGTAATGCAATTGTTTTATAGACAATTATCGATTTTTTTTGTAGATGGTGATTTATTAATAAAACATATGTGGATCAAATACCTGTAAATCTTGTACACCCATAGGAAATATTACACGCTAACCTACTGCACTGACATGTGTGCAGACATTTCTCTCCGTAGTATAGGTAAGGGTATGTTTAGTGGCAACTAAATCCAAAATAACCATTTGGACATTCTGAAGTAATAAATTTTATACTTTGAAATAACAAAAAAATACCATATGAAATTTTAATAACAAGCAATAATCTTCATTTTACGTCCTTATATGTGTAACAATAATTATCAGTCCACAAATTTATGCATTTTCTTTCGATCAAATCCCATTTATATCCTGAACAGCAACCGTTTCTTCTGAAAAAAGAAAATTAAGATTATTAGGGTATATCTTAAACATTCATCAACAACAATCAGCTCTGACAAATTTCGATGATTTTCAGCTCAGTTACTTTTACAAATACAAAAAAGGCGAAATATAAATTACACGAAATAAAAAAAATCATACGTGGTTTAAAATATATCATTCAATAAATCTAAATGAAACAGACATATAACTATGGTAAATCGTCCTAAACTCATGTGAACCAGTGTGACAAAGATGAGCAAAATCTATGTAACTGGGCTTACTTATGCAATATGAATTTGTTGAGTCTATCTATACATTATGTTCCGTATTGAAATATAAAGTACATTACACCGAATACCAAATGCTTATACAGCGTTATAAGAGAATGCTAAAAAAAAACAATGCTGATTTTGAAAAATAATATACATGAAGTCACAACAACTGAACGAAAAATAAAAGCAAATCTTACTTGTCACAAATTACAGCGAAGACACCATTGTTTAACATCACAAGTTGTGTTAAAAAGAAAAACGGATACTTAAAGGCCATGACAAATGTCATTTTTTCCAGTTCAACAATAATTTTATTATTTACTTATTTTATCATGTAATTTGACACATCCTTGTTCTAAGCATTATAATAATATCCGGCATTTAGAAAATAAGAAACGAATATTAATTATTTCAACAAATATTTCCCTGTGTATTTCTGTTAATCAAAAATACATTTTCAATTCTAAGTGCTTACATGTTGATGTTTCCGAAAAAAGCACATTCTTGTTTTATACTGTTACACATGTACGTATTTGATAACACACAGGAAATGTTTTATTTTCACTCAAACTTTGCTTATTATACAAAATGGTGCCAGAATAATTCGGACGCTTCACTTTAAGGACAATACTTTTCGAAATCCGGATCAGGACTGACGATTTCTTAACAAAACGTGATATATCATTGAAAAATGATTCGTTTAAAAAAGACGGTATTTCTTTTTTTTTCACGAATCATTTCTTTTCGCGTTTCTTGCATTAGTTATAATTGTGGTAAAACATTGTCCATGGATTTAATTTTAAGGTTGTTAACTATAAACTCCAAACAATAGCGCCAATAATTATTGAAATTATTGTGTTTTTATTTCAAATAAATCGATTGGAATCAATTGCTTACGGACTATAGATTTATGAGAACTTTAGAAAGTGGTATATGAAATGAATAATTTGAAAAAAAAAAGTATTGGGTTATGTTATTTATCAAAATAAATATTTCATTTTCTAAAAACTTAATATTATTGAAATGCTCTTTTTCTGTTCTTAAGGCAATTCACAATGATACAGAATTCAAGAATATAATTTTTAAAATACGATGAAAAATTAATGATTACTCTAAATATGGCAGTATTTCACATTGATTGTTTTAAATATATAGACAGGTACTGATTGTTGTGTTCATTGAAACGCGGTTAGTCACTTAAAGATGACAATGAATAGATTGGCCTATTGGGGCTTGAGTAAATAGAAAAAAATCTGCCGAAAAAAAGACAGTAGGAGGTCGTTGTTTGCTAAAACCTTGTAACAAAACATGAAATAGAAGGATAATAAAGTTTTAAATATTGTTTTAAAAAAAGAAAGCCGCACAATAAAATTGCTTATCCATTTTTGCACTGTTAAATACATTTATTTTTTTCTAAGATAAAGACATTCTTATATGTACATTTGCTAAAACTAAATCCATCAAAGTGAAAAAAAAAGAATTTTTAAATGAACCCATTTTTTTACATATTTGAGGCCAGGGGGGGGGGGGGTTAAAAGCCAGCTCAAATTTAGTTTGAGCCAAATTAGAGGCAAAAATAGAGGCCACGCCGACATTGTCTGGCCCCCCTTAGAGAGGCCAAACTACACAGGCTAGGTTTTATAGTATACCCTGTCGAACTTAGCACAACAATTGATTTTTGAAGTTATATTATTGAGTCTTCCATCATTTTAAAGGATACCTTAAATGTTCAAACCCCCCTCTTTAATATTTGTTTTTCCCTGTGTCTTATTTCTCTTAATATATATATAAAAAAACAAAATGTGTTTGAAACACTGATGCCCCCATATGGCAACATACCGAAGGTAAAATTTTCTCTAATTTATCAAAATCAAACATGATGATACCGAAAGTGAAGCCTTCTCATGCGAATAAAAAAATATGTGAAATAAAACCCCAGTACCTTTTTATCAAAATTTATGGCCCAGGTTAATGGTTTTTAAAATTTAATCTCCGGGGTCAAGGTCAAATAGTCAAGGTTATTTTTTTCTAAAATAAGTGCTTTGTCACAAAGATTATATAGGGAATATGGTAAGTATGAAAGTCCTAGCACCAACAGTTCAAGAGTTACTGCCAAGGTTAAAGATTTTAAAGAGTGTGTCAAACTCCAAAGCCAAAAGGTCAAATTTCTTGATATTGAAGGAGGGTCTTCTCATAAGGATTACATATGTGAAGAATGAAAGCCCTATTTCTTACCTTTCAAAAGTTATAGGTAAGGTTAATGTTTTTTCACAAGTACGGAAATCTAGAAGGTCAAAAGCTCAGAATAATTTAAATCCAACGAAAGATTTTGCCACAGAGAATACATATGGTAAAGCATAGAAGCCCTATCCTTAACCATTCAGAAATTATGGCCAATGATAACATTTTTAAATGTAGGTCAAACTCCAAAATCAAGATAAAAGGATCAAAGATCTTGCTATCAAATGAAAGGTCTTGACACATGGATTAATTATGTAAAGAATGAAAGCACTAGCTCTAACCCTTTAAAAAAATATGGTCTATGTTTCCTTTTTTAAAAGTAAGTCAAACTCCAAGGTCAAGGTCAAAGGGAAAAAGTTCTTGGTATCCAAGTAAAGGCCGCCCCACAAATATAACATGTGTGAAGTATGAAAGCTGTACCCCTTACTGTTCAAAAGCTATGGTAAATGTTAAACTTTGTTCACTAGTACGCAAATCGTCAAGGTCAGTGTCAAAAAGTCAAAGTTGTTTGTATCCAGTGAAAGGTTTTTTTTCACAAACAATACATATTTGAAGTGTAAATGTAATGGTTTCTAATGTTTAAAAGATATGGTCAATATAAATTTGGGGATTTTTGTGTAAAAGTGGGTCAAAGTCAAGGTCAAATTTGGTAGTACCTAAAGAAAGGTCTTGTAACAAGAAATACAACTGTAAAATATGAAAGTTATAGTTCCACTAAATCAAAACTTATGGGCAAGGTTAAAGTTTTTGCAGACATACAGACAGACAGAAAGACAGACAAAGAGCTATACAAAGAGGCAGACATTGGACAGACGGACGGACACGACAAAAACTATATACCCCCCGGAACTTCGTTTACGGGGGCATGCTAACAATGCAATAAGTTTTGCTAAGACAGGTTCATGTGGAATACATGTGCAAGCAAATGCTTTTGAGAAATCCATCGTAATTGCTATTGTGTTTTTTTTATGACCGAAAGTAGACTTACAATCTTCAACAATTTTTAGTAACATACTCTGACATCCAAGTTCATATCTTAGATATCAGCTGTTGATATCTAATTAAATATGCCATGACCTGTGTTAAATATGTTTCAGCTCATTATGAAATTAAGCAAAGTTAGATGCTCCTCTTAGTTGACAATTTCCGGTCATTGGTTATTTGTTTTATTATGTTGCTTTTCGTTTTTCGTTTTTTTGTTTTTGTTTCTCGTTTAGAGTATATACACATGTCCTGACTCCACCGCATTCCACATTACTTCATTCAATATATATACCAAGGCCGCAGTGACCTAAATCATATTACTTTTTTCTATTTTTAATATTTTAATATTGGTTTTTTAATGATGAATATAGGTTACGTTTCTCTGAATACTCTGGACTCATGACTTGTTTATATTTTTAGATTTCCCTGTTTCATTTTCGGTGCCGCATACGACAGGTAGGTCTCATAGGGCGTACCTTTTCTAATATAATATTTGATATCAATATATTATATCTAATATAATATTTGATATAATGGGTGATATAGATATCACCCATTATACTTATTTAACAAATTAACGAAATCGTGTTAGAAAAGTTGCAAGAGAAAACCTTTCTTACATACAGTGAAAAAGAAAAGAATTGAAAGTAGAAATTATAAACTATCTTTAAAAAAATCATCATATTTTAATCAAATTGCTTTTTTATGATTATTACTTTTCCTTACTTAGAACATGGTTTTTGTCATAATTATTACTTTTCCTTAGAACACGGTTTCTGTCATGAGAAAGAAAAAAAAGATTTCATCGTCCATGAACAAATCAAAATGATGAACAATTTAATTCCGAACTCTATATGAAGGAGGATGCAATTAGGAAAAGGTAATTGCTGATTAATTACCTTTGCTAGCCAGGTGTGTCAGATAGATTACTCTACTTATTAACCTTGACATTTGATCCTGTCATTTTTAACAAAAATATGATTTGAAATGATGACAATAAAGTCTTGAAATGATGTTTTCCTTTAATCAACATCTGTTATCTAATAACAGAAAAATAATTTAAGGCACATGTTTTTGATATATAGAGATATTTACTGAATCTCGATTTTTGACAGAATCTTATTCCCTTTTTTTGCTTCGAGGACAGAAAACTACAAAAAAAGCACAAAGCGTAATGTCAATGTTGTTTCTGTATCATTCAGCCTTAAATGATTTAATCAAAAGCAGAACATTTCCCCTTCTTTGCACGTTAATATCATAAATAATTGTTTCACTGTTTCCCATTACATTCCACAAACGGCACATTATCTTATGGGTTGTTGATTTTTAATTTAAATAGTCAATATATAACACATTTCCGAATACATTTATAGTTATCAAGAAAAAATGATTTCAAAAATATTGATTGGACGAACTTTATTGATTAATTTCAATTAGATCGTGGTTAAAAAATATGTAAATATCGGAGGTCAAGGGTTAATGCGGAAAATATCTTATCAGAAGATGCTAGTTTATATGTTGTGGCAACTGTGTAACATTTTGCTGATTAATAAGTATATTATTTAGCATGTACAATATGCATATTCATTTTTGTGTGGGTCCTCTTCATTCCGATAAAAAGTTTTGCCACTCAATTTCATAGACTTTTGCAATCCCTTCCACTCATATCTTTTTTTCTGTTTTTGTAGGTCTTCGCATTACATTTTACATAATTTCCTCCACTGGATGCCTTTTATTATCAGAGGTAGTGCATGTAAGTAATACCCATAAAATATTATTGTATATTGTATATATGGAGGTAATTATAATAGTGAAAATGTGAATTTTGTTAAAAAATTTCAATTTATTTCAGATTAGAGCTAGAATTACCAAAACAGATTTCTCGATAGTAGAAATGGTCAAGAAAGTAGAAATGTGTCCAAACAATAAATCTGAATGGTTTCTGGAATCAGACAGAAAACAATGCTCAACTTTAAACTTACCACTGCATGACAAATGCTTATTCAAATGCAACTTTCGACTTTTGTGCCACTAACGTTATTCTTCTTGGTAAATAAAAACAATCTTATTCCATGAATCTTTTTTTTTTAAATCCCTTTTATCGAAAAATGTCGAGAGAAGCACAGCTAGATTGCATGATTATTCTTAAACCTATCATAAATTAGCTATCATAAATTAGCTAGTTTTTTTATTATCATCATTATTATTGCATGCTTCTCTTTCACTTCATTAATATGACTGGTGTGTAAATTATACAGAGGTGTCCCGTAGGCATATTTCATGAAGAGTCTTACATGTAGCTTTGTACGAAATTATGCTTACATGCAAGCCTCATCGGAGTATTTTTTAAAAAATGTATATATTTGCATGTGCATATCATTCACCAAGTTTTCAACAGGAGTACGGCGTCAACTTGCAATTGGTTATTTCTTTTAAATATGTGACATATTTCAAAAGATACTGTCATGGTTATACATCGTAATGTAGTTGAAGATACACGTGTCGTCCGAAAGACATGTAACTTTGACCTCAAAGTGCTTGGGGAAGGAAGGGTTTCACTTTTTTATTCAGATTCCACTTATGACCTTCTGATCACTACCGACAGGCTACCGTGAAGGTCGCCAGGAAGGGAAACTTTTTAAAACCGATTTGCATAATACTTTGACAGATCGTAATAAATTGTTTCAGAAACGTTAAACCTAGAAAGCAGGAAAAATCGAACTGTCCAGCATAAATGTTACAAGGATTTCCAATGTAATTTTATATCAGCTTTCTGCAGACTCTTCCAATATCAAGATAACCTTGTTTGTGAATAAAACCTTTGTTTGGATTTTTTTTATAATTATTGAAAACATCCGTTGTTTTATGGCAAATATGACAAATAATGAAAACAAGAGGCCCACGGGCCTTATAGGTCACCTGAGTATTGTGTAACAACTTTCAAACAATTAAATTTGGTTTGTGTTTAAACCGGAGGCCATGAAATTCACAATTTACAATTTTGAAAGAGGCACCATTGCTTATCATAATTATTAACTTAGCATGCTTACTCTATTTACTTAATACCCAGAGATAGATCAGAGTAACAAAGAGAAAATGCACTTCCACTTTATAACCAGTTGTGCACCTCACCCCAAAGGAACCACTGACGCTGGGACCACACATTTCAAAATTTTGGAAATTTTATCATAAAATGGTTGATTAATACCAAAAAGCAGATTTCAAAGATTTAATTCATTTTCAGGCTATGAACCCCCCCCCCCCCTTTGACCCTGGGGGCGTTAAAAACCACTTTGCTAGATGCACCTTTCTTCATCATAAATATATATATATACTTGGATAATTGGCTTAAAACCCAGAAGCAAAGAAAAATTGGAATCATCACCAGGTAGTGTAGATTCAATTTTGTTAGAATCACGACCCCCAGCGGTAGGGTGGGGCCAAATTTAATGGCCGATAAAAGTTTTACAGAGGAAACTCTAGGGCAACCTTTTAAAATCTTCTTTTCAAATACTTTAAAGCCATGCTTAGTGCTATTTATAGGGAAACGTCCTCAGGTATTGTAGATTTAAGTTTGTTCAAATCATGACCCCCTGGGGGGTTAAAATTCAGCCCCCCCCCCTCAGTAAACTTTCAGTTCTGATCTGATGTGTGTTTTTTCCTAGCTAATTGCTCAGGTGAGCAATGTGCCCTGGGCCTCTTGTTTAATGTTTGTAATCCTCATGACTTTGCAAGAACTATAGATAGTTAACACTTTACTTTTTTGACAAAAACTGTTCAGTTTGTGGTCAATATTTTTTTGTGTTGAAGAATTTGTTTACAGGTGTCCAAACACAAATATAAATACTAAGTTTCTTTCGTTCTTTGTTTTACACGTACATTTAATTTACATACAAAAACAAAATTTGTTTAACTGTTTTCTCATTTCTTAACATATGAAAAATTGACAATCAAATGCATCACATTACCTAGGAAATGCTAAAATTTCACAGTTAATCGTGTTTTACATATAGAGCACACTCGTTATCACCAGGGTCGTGATAAGTTAGTCTTTTGTTTACTCTCTAAGATAGTGAGTAGTGGAGAGAAGATCCTATAGATTATTAGAAACCTATTGACATTACATTACATTACATGTACAGGTGTAACATGTATGCTTAGAATTTTAATTTACTTATCTTATTTAGTAAATATATCCAATACCTAGACAAAAAAAACACCAGTTTTAAGGCAGTGGTTGTATGGGCAGTGGATTCACTTGTCTTTTTAGTGACTTTTACAAATTATCACTGCTAGTGTTAGGCAAAAAAAATTAAAAACAGAAATACAATTGGCATTCACTTTTCGAGAAATATTTCCAATGAAAACAATACCCTATCCACTGAGCCCATGTACAATGTAGAAATACTTTTATAAAAAATGTGTGTGTGAAGAAGTTATGGTCGGAAACCGTCACACATTTTCTCATATTTTAGCAGAGTTTAAATCAGTCATCAAAGAGCAGTACACCTGACATTTCAAACATATGATGTTTTTTTTTAAAAATATAATTATAGATTTTTTTTTCCTTTTCAAAAAGAGTCCATTGACAAGGACAACGCTGTTCATACTTACCAAGTAAATAGAACCACAATTAAAATTTACATTATTTATTGCCGATAACTAATATATTTAATACATCATTGGTTTATCCTTTAACTACTGAAGTAGTTACATTGTAAATAATTAAGTTATGTTCTTTAGTTTATTTCCACATTTATGTAATCCCAAGGACAATATTAATTTTAACAATTACAAATTATACATGTACATATATTATTCTTTTTGTTATTTGTAATAGAATATGTTGTAGAACACGTGCTCTTAACTCCCACGGACATGAAACCCTTGAATTCTGATAGTTTTAGTTTCACTTTCAGTTAATGTCGTAAACATGGTACAGACGGGTAGGTATTTACTTTGTCTCCTAATCAACATTTTATAAATATTAATTTCGATTAGTATTAGATGTAAAATAATTGTCATGATAGATGATAATTATATTATTCCTGTTTTTCTTGTTTTTTTATACCTTTTGCAACTTGTTTTAGTGTTTTAAAGAATATACTCTATATTTCATATTTTAAATGCAGTTAAAAAAAATAGATCAGATAGCATATTACAAATATGAAAAGGCTTTCAGACTTGATTGTAAAGAGAACCGAATAAACTAATTGACCCTTAATTAGGAAAAAAAAACAAAGTATGGCATTATAATTATGTAACTTTATGACTTGAAAATACTGTGGTGCTCTCTAAGGGTAGGGCTTTTTTATTGGGATCTAATTTTCTAAAGTTTTATCAGGATGATGATTTCATTTCTTTACACTTCTCAGGATGTGTTTTAAATCTAGAATAACCAGACTGACTTTCCAGCTAATAAATAAACATAATTCCAGTTTACAGGTTTATTGTTCATAAGATACACAAGACATGTCAACATAACGAACGAAGATAAACTTTGCTATAAAACAATATAACCTAGGCTTTGTTCAATATAATTTCTTACTATATAGATTGGGATTTTACTTATCTGGAGTATGATTATCCTGGGAATAACCCTTGATATATTTATGAATAAATGAAATTATACTCCTATGCCTTAAGAATTATGTAGAGTCTCTTAAAAAAACAAGAGATTTCAATAGTTATCCACGAAGTCCATAAATCAGAGAAATAATCTTTAAATCAAATACAGCAAAACTCGTTTTGTACGAACACGGTTATAGCGAATTTACGGTTATAACGAAGTTATTTTGGATCCCCAGCTATGTAAATTTAACGTATTCCTTATATGGATATAACGAATTACGGATATAGTGAAGCAAATTCATAGGTCCCCTTGACTTCGTTATAACCGAGTTTTACTGTAGAAAATCATTGTAAGTTGACTATTATGAAAATAAATTGTTCCTAGTTCTATTTCCACTTGTTTTCAGATGGAGATTAATTAAGGGATTTACCCATTAATTAAATAAGCAAATTCCTAGACCCATTTCTATAAAAACTGATAATTTCGTTAATTTGTACTTATTAGGTAATTAATTAAGGGATTAACCCGTAAATTAAATTACCGTATACCTAAAGATAGAAAGAATAACCCTCTATTTCCTAAAACTTACTTCATTAAATTTCTATACGTCTAGCCAGCTCCGCAGCACAGTTAAGGTTACAAAAAGGAGGCGGAGCCTAATTTGTACGGGAAAACTTGACTATGACATCATACATAATATACGTCATACAAAAAGGAGGCGGAGCCTAATTTGTACGGGAAAACTTGACTATGACATCATACATAATATACGTCATACAACATTTCTTTAAAATACCACAAAATGAGTTTATCTGCTAATTTAAACCCATTCCCCGCAGTAACGCATTTTATCGCATATACCGTTTCCTATTTCTAAAGCAAAATCACGCATTTACCTTTTCCCCGCAACCACGCATTTTCACGCACTATAAAAAGTTCATTTAATCTTCAATTTATTGCCAAATTCCAACTATTTTATACTTGCTTAATTTTCATAAAATAAGAAAAGTTATATTCTAAATAAAATATTACGTCATAATATTATTTACGCTAAACTTTAGAGAAACTTGTACCCCGCTGTAAAGTGCTTGCGGGGAAATGGAAACGTAATATATCTATGACGCGAGGATTCGGTGTATGTTGCTAAACAATTCAATAAGTTGTAAAGAGTTAACTAGTAAAAAATCATTAAACTACATAAAAACTTACTACAGCGTGTTGTTTTGTCGTTCGTTAAATCCCACATAACAAGTTATTTAAACAAGTCACTGATCGCAATACACTTGTCAATATGACGTCATTTCTTACAATGTGACGTAGTTTGTATGCAGTGAGAGACAGATCAAGTAATATTTTCTCAACAAAATTGTATTCTCTAATTTTACAGATATTCTATGGGCCATTAACATGAATTTAATATCTTCTTCACTATTTTATTAATATATTATATGTACATTACATGTACGTATTCAATTCACACTGCCGTATATTTGTATGCAAGTACATCAGAGGGTAATGTGGGGGGTCTTAATAAATCGATCTAGTGCAAGGGCATACACTCTATGAATCAAAGTAAGCTTTTACATTTCATTTATAAAACTATTAAGGTATCTGAAAAGTGCTGCGATCCTGAAGAAATCTTAAAAACAATCTAATTATATCAATATTTCATGCCGCTGACCAGCAAAAAATATATCATTCGGTCATACATGTATAATTTTAACAATGAAATTGCAGAAGTTAGACAGGATCGCTACACTTTTTAGAAACTACAATGCGGGTTGAAGTATATATATATATATACTAACTTTGAAATTTAACTTGGTTATGCCCTTGCACTATTGATGTTTATATGTAACATCAATACTTCAAGTCAATGTGCTAAAATAGCGTGACTGCCGAATCACGTGACTAGTCTAAATATAAAATATAATCGTCCTCGACATGTAGTTATTAATGATAATTACAATTATCCGATATGAATAATGTACTTAAAATAATCGCCATCCCGACTACGAATACATTTTTAAATACAAAACTTAGTCGATATTTTTATTGTGCACCTAAACTGTTCTGCGTCAAAACAAAGTCTGGAAAGTACATTTACCGGAGAAAATATACCGGCCGTATTTATACACAAACTCATCCACCGGAGAAACACACATGCAAGATTGGACACCACCGGAGATACTGCCGGAGCTTATAAATAAAATAATAAATACAACTTTAATTACAAACAAAATAACATCAGGATTATCATTCTACTACAAAGAATCTTCGTCACTCAAATAGATATCAAAACCCGGAAGAAAATCACAATATACTTTCAAATAGACCGCCAGACGAAAATAGACTGTGACTTGGGATCAAATGCATAAATTACTACTCTAGAGCCATACATCAGTTCCGGTAAAATGGCAGCATACATGTGACGAAGGTAAATAGAACTTTTAAACTCTGTTATTTACATTACATATTCAATGATATTAAATTATATCCCTGCAACACTGGTTTAACAATAACTTATACAAAATAAATAAGCTATAAACAACAATGCATTACGTCATGAACATTTCATTTACACCTTGTTTAAACAAATCACAGAGGACATGTTAACTTAGGGGTCGTATAACAACACTTAATACTACGAAATCAGATCATCTCAAACTTTGATAATAATGACTACAATTATAAGTATTTATATAACACTGGCATGACAATTATACCTATTATGACTCCACAATACTTTGAAAATTTGAAGGAGAGGGGTTTCGCCTCTTATTCCCCCTTTAAATATTTGGTGATTATTTTTTCGATCTCTTTTTATATAAAACTGGTTTTAAAATCCTTTACTAACTATGGAAATGTTTTTATTTATATTATGTTTCATTGTTGAATCAAATGAAAGAATATTATAATCGCCCTGATGGTTATATTCTTTTTTTCCTTTTATATTATAATGCAATACAGGGTGCTAACGAACACCTTATTCAGAATTGTTCTTCTTTTTTAAACCATAATGTGTAATAGGATAATTTTCTTTTCAAAATTCTTAGCTAAATGTCAAAAGCCTCTAAAGCTTCTATTTTTCTTACGTTATAATAGGAAACACAATGTCTCTGTTTCTGTCTAAAAAGTCTTTGAAAATTACTTTTTGATTTTGATTTAAAAGTATGATATTTTCTAAATTAATTCTAAATAAGTAAAGCATATATGAAAATGAAAACACAAACTCAAAACAAAACATCCTGATGTTATTACTTCCTTTTTCGGAGAACGCGACTATTTTTGACAGAGGTTATGTTTTATTAGTTTTTGGAAATGATGATTGCTCTATTCGTCGAAAACAGATATGGATCATAATTAAATATTTACATGCAACTTCTCATATTACCATCCTGTCACGACAGCCGTCGTGCTCTGTTCAGTCAGACACAACAAGATTTTTTTCTATTTACAAATTTTTATCGATAAATAAAATCAATAAAAAAAACAATATTTACAACATATTTTACAAAAAATTATCTACAATAAATATCATATAAAGTCTTTATATGTCCATATCCTCATTCCAGTGTACCACGCGACCGCGTCCTGATACTCCCCGTTTTACGACGGACTCCCACCAACTGGCTCCCAGTGGGTTTTCGGTCCAGGTAACGCTGGTTCCACGTGTTCATACAAAATGGCCCTTATAGATAGAATATAGCTGGAATATCTCTGGAATATCTCTGGAACCTTTAACGTAGGTCGCGGGTTTGCTGACGTCATTAAAACTTGGTACGCAATTTATATGATTTGGGCGACTTTCTTGTGCACATCTGATTATGACGTCACGGTGAGAAAGGGAAAATTTCAGTACATTATCTATATAGCTGAAACTTTTGTTGAAATTGGTATCTTAGTGTAACATATTCATAGCAGGGGCGTAGCAACAAGGGGGGGCAGGGGGGGGCCTGCCCCCCACCCCCAATTTTTTCCCAACCTTATCTATACGATAGCAAATGTTAATTGAAAACCTGGTTGCCCCCCCCCCCCCCAGTTTTAATGATGTACCGAAAATGAAGCAATAGAATTGGTACTGAAAGTAGTTGACACTGAAAAAAAGTTAGCCTATACCCCCCCTTTTTTTTTTGCTTTTCAACTTTTTCAGGTAAGTAAAAAAAAATTCTCCGACTGCCCCCCCCCCCACTTTCAAAAACGATGCTACGCCACTGCATAGAACATGCTGAAGTTATAAAAATAATGAAGGCTTCTTTTGATTCGAATGACCATCACTGAAAGTGTTAGAAGCGATTCATTATGTGTCATCAATCGCAACTTCTCGGGTCTATTCTTAGAGCACATGTACTTGTTTCGGAAATAAATTTTAACCCTTGTATCATGTATGATTTATAAATATTAAATACATGTATTAAATGAGTATAATTATAAAACAGGCTATCTAACTCCGAATTACACTCGATACCCCCTCCTCAGAAACGCATTCATTTTAGTGAACACTTACAGTGGAAATGCACTAACAAATTGTTTATTAGCATTGTCTTCTACCATAATTTATCTACACAACCATATATGGCATGCATATCTTTGTTTTCATTTATCTCCGTAAACAGCGTCAAAACTTTGCTCACCGATGGAAAGTCGAACTCAATTATTAAACGGTATGTGCTTATCTCAGACAAATCTTTATAAAGGTTGATCACAAATTAAAAACTGCTAAGGCACTACCAGGGTAATCTTAATGAAACATAAACTAAATTATTTATATTATATATACATTTTTTGAGCGGCATTGACCTCTTCTAAATAACCACAGGCACGTAAGATATGACCCCCTTCCTCCTTTCCATTTTTTTACTTCCTAACGCCAGGGATGAGTAAACATGTATTTAAAAACAGCGTAAAGAGATAAAAGGGTAACATTATAAATAACATGCAATACGTATTAAAAATCCAAAATAGGGAAACCTCCAGAATAACAGAATTGGAGGGGGGGGGGGGGGTCGATACTCCAATTGCCTGTGTAAGTAACGACACGCGTTGTTGTTGTTGTTAGTTAGCCTACATGTAGATATTTTATTCGCTGCGTTGCTTTCCATGTTCATTCAGTAGAATTAATGTTATATGTATACATTGAAAGTCTAAAAACAAAATAAAATCTGCCTGTTGATTTTGCCAAATAAAATTAATGTTTAAATTACCGTCCCATTTACCCCTCTAAAATTCCTTTTAAGTAAGCATTTTTCTATCCTTATACGTATATCAAGCATAAAATAAAATCAAATTAAGATTTATTTTAGCTATTCGCTGCTTCTTTGTAAACAAAAACATTTTCAATATAAACACTGAATGCAGCATTACTCATACTCAGGGGGGGGGGGGGGATTGATTCAGAAGAAGTTATTGTTGATTTGATAGCCTTGCTGAATTTTCTAACGAAAAAGGATATATACAAAGCGTAAAAAAACATATTTCGGGGTTGAGGGATGGGGATGTTAGTAGTCCTTGACTTATAAATTATCTTCAAACTAAGATAGAAATGCGTTTTCTTTATTGTGTTTTTTTTTCTTTGGGAATCAAAGTAGGCATCATGGCTGGCAGCAGTTACAGGAAAAAACGGGACACAAACCTTTTTGTACTTTTAGTGCTTATAAAAACTGTAGGTCGGGTAAATATCTTAAATCGTGCAAACATTAAAAGCTACGTATCTATATTTAGGTACTTTTAGCTTTTAACATATGTATAACACAAAGGGTAAAACCTTTGAACAAGAAACTGTAGACTACCGAACTTTAGTAATTTTCCTTGAAATATATCAGTGGGAAACTGACGCTATAGGGAATGGCTATCCGATAAAAATTTTGAAGCAAAGACAGTTTATTGCTTCTGCTTTGAATAACTCGATCCAAATAATGTACACAAGAGAGAAAAAAAAAGTTCTATCATCCGGCATAGAAAAAGTCATATATCGTTTTTCATAATATATTTATTCTATTTGCTATATTTATTTATTTTAGATTTGAGAGCCTGGAAGACCACTGACAACAGCGAACTAGGAAACTCCCAAAAGAGGCTAGAAACATCTCATACATGATTAAGATGTCAGGTGGTTGTGATTACGTTGCGGCCACAACATTTTTACTTTTATTGATTATGCAAATAAGCCAATCGGAATCAAAGAACTTAGGGATCAAGAAGCGATTTACACAGGTATATTTTTTCCCATAATTTGCGCTTAAAATTCTGAATTAGCTTACGGGGTGCTGTGTTTAGTGAGTCTGCTCTAGATTCACGAAGAACGTCGCGAATTAGAATTCTACTGTGGGATGCGGAGAGCGGTCCTTCGGATGGAGCAGTGTAAATCAAGGTCCTGTGTAGCAGAAGGTGATAAAAAACTGCATTGCTCAATGGACTTGAATACCGAGTTGACAAAATCTGTAAGTCCTAACCAGCAAATAGTAGGATCTCCATATGAATGAAAAATTCTGGATAAGGACGTGAAACAAAATACAATCAATCAGTCAATTCTGAAACTTACTGTACATCATGACGATTAATTCAATTGACATAGCAAAATAACTAGCTAGTATATAACCATTGACCCTTCCTCCATCCAGGGAGATAAGGGCACTTTGTCTGAAAAGCAGAAAGAGAGTTAGATAAAAGAAAGGAGTTATTCTCACTGGAGTTAATTTATTATGACTTCTTTGCACTATTAACCCGCTTTAATTGAAAGTAAAAAAGAGAAAGTTTTGTATGTCTGCTTGATTGACCGTCTGTTTAACATGTTAATTTTCTGTGCGTTCTGTGAGTTTTTGCAAAAAGAAAAATCATCTGACAATTACATTTATCCCGCTTCAGACTAATCGATTACTGCTTTGATAAAAGTTAATCACATGACTCCCTGAAATTTTCCGTATTACGTCTCCTTCGAGGAGTAATATGAAAATCGGACACACGATTCCGTTCGAAGCGTTGTTATTGTAAATACAAATGGAGGCAAAGAAACGCTTTATGTATACAGTAAACCTCGGTTAGTACGAACACGGATATTGCGAATTCATGGTTATAGCGAAGTTATCTTGGATTCCCAGCCATATAAATCTTAAAAAATTTCTAATACGGATATAACGAATTACGGATAAAACGAAGTAATTTCTTAGGTCCCAGTGACTTCGTTATAACCGAGTTTTACTGTAGGTAGTTAAGTTAAATTTCTTGTTACCGTAAGGATATTTTATGTGGATTGTTACTGGATTAAATTTAATATTTTCAAAATATACACAAACATTTTTTTTTTATTTTGAAAAAAGTTTTCGGCTTCGCCTCGCCCAATACAGATTTCCATTTCACACCCTGTATGAATCCGTTTTAGGTCACTAGCTGGAATTGTAATTGTAACCAAGCGGATATGGAAAACGCAGGTTCATGTTATAAATTTATTAGGAAAAGAAATAACAAGGGCAGATCTACAAATACAAAAACATATCTACAAAATCATAATACACATAGACACTGAGACAAAATTCTTTTATTTCCTATTCACTTCCAAAAAATAAGAATATTTTAGTTTACTAAGCCCAAAACGTCATTTTCATAATCTTAAAAACCTTTCTTTCAAAAATATGTAAAAATACTTGAGCTTATCATCTGAACTTAATTAATAAATAAATTTTTACACATGAATCTAAAGAATCGGAGTCTTGTTTGTTGGGTATGTCAGGGAGTGAAAAGATAGTTGGAAACCTGGAAAAAATTGTATGAAGGATCACCTAACTTACAAAGGGATATAACACAGAAAAGGAATAGAAACATTCTTTTTTATTTCATTCCAAAAAACTAAAACAAAAATATTGACCTTTTTTCTTCCTTTCATCAATTGCCAAGCGTAATGGTGACTCAATCGGTCAAAATCATCTGGGTGGGTGTTTGTTTGTTCAATGAATCAATTGACCTTTGTCGCCATAAAGTGGCAACAACCATTCCTTAGTCAAGCAATTGCTACTTTAAAGACGTACAACACACTATGGGAGATAACTCTTGCGATTTCAATTGAACGTTTGACGTGACATCAAATTTAACGTCAAAAATAGAGCGTCAAAATGACGAGTAAAACGATCCCGATGTATATCAATCATAAACGAAAAATGGGATATTGGGCTTGGCTTTGATTATGCGTACCAATACTCAATCAATAAGTTTTTTTTTTTAATTAACCCGATTAAACTCCGTAAAAAGCCAGACGTAAAATACCATCCCTTAATGTTTATTTCATTTCATTTCATATACAATAAATTGTATTCTTGATTAAAGCGCAGCATTTTTTTTATTCTGAAAATTTTATTTTACATAGCCGAAAATATTATTATGTACAGTATTGGCTATATAACATTCCGATTAATGGTATTCATTACAATTTGTGCATTTATGATATAAATATTGTTTTTCTTCTTTTATGAAATAAAACAACAAACTTTTTACAATGTAAATTCGATGTTGTTCTCAGATTCTTACTGATCAAAGAGGAACAACTCTGAAAATGTAGGAGATGTTTATTTTCCTCCCTTTATTCACGGTTTTCCACAGAATCAGACATTTACAGCAAGACCTGATAAATCCGAGAATTGAATAGTATAGACTTCATATACACAATGTTAGTATAGAAAAAAATTGTTCAGACGTCGTGCATAGAAATGGGGGTTGAAATTGCGTAACTTGTAACACCGTAAACGACAGGCGTTGGTATTTTTGGTCATTTTTTCGTTTTGGCTACATGTTTTTTTCTGGCAATGTGTACCATGCTTCTATAACTTCCTGTGATAATGTCACACAACATTAATTAATAAATTGATAATTTACGGACTATTGCGACTGTTCGTATAATAGGAAACGTTCTGTAACATGCCGTAATTTTGACAAGTTACAAGAAAAGATGGAATGTTTGATAATTTTTTTTACTATATAACAGGTTCTTTTCGTAAAACTAAGTTGATAAATGAAATGTGCTATTCAAGAAGTAGTCAAATGTTTCTTTAAAAAATTATAAGCAAGCAGTAGGAAAGATTAGTAGAGGATTTTGATGTCAAGTCGGTTTTGTTACTACGACAAAAATGTGTGTATTAATGTATTTAACTGGGCGTATAACACCAATGTGAGCTGTATTTTCTATTTACTGGGAAAACTTTATTAACAGATAAATATTATTTTTAAAATGTGCAAATAAATAAATTTTGTATTCAAAGAAACATTAAAAAGTAAGACATTTTTAAGAAAACGGGAGCAAAAATTGAATGTCTAGTCTGATTTGTTACGCCTTGAATTTTTGACGTTTTTACGCTTAAACCACATATGCAACAACGTCAAAAAGGTAAATTTTGACGTTACAAAATCAGCCCCAATTTTGTGCGCGACGTCTTACTAGTACTGAAATCATCTGCATTTATGAATATCCTCTTGCAGCAAATCGTTTGACTTTCTCTGTCAACAATGTCGGTTCGCATTTCCTCGAATCAAATCAAAACGTATCCTATAAGATTTTAAAAATATCAATGTGCGATTTGATATAAACTGAAATATATGAAGAGTTTAATGTTTGATATATATTTTGAAGTTAATGTGGACGAATACGGATTTTTCATTCTAACTTTAGAAGCAACGAAATTGAAAGAATGCGTACAATATCATGAAGGGCGTACATCTATGCAAATGTCGATGTATCCCCACGGCCACATACTGTCTCGTTTGAAATAATGACATGAGAGAAACTACAATAATTTCCATTTATATCACAGAGAGTTGAATATACACCATTCTTAATAAATAAAATTAAAGAAATAAAATTAAAAATCAGCATATTCAAGTTCAACATAACTTGAATTCGTATCCAGGTTTCATGTGATATGGATTGCATAACGCATACATGGACTAAACAATGAACTCTTTCAGTAATTTTTTCCAGATACATATAAAAACAGTAGTCAAGATTTATTCTGCCTTCATGAATTTAAAAACTAATGTATACCTCCGGAATTCAAATGACAAAATACTAGTATATTTGCACTTTAAACGACGTTTCGTCAAACGCTGATGGTCTACGACGCAAAAAAGGGAGGGGTGGGGGTGTTAGGGGTATTCAAAAATTGCCTAAAAATCTACATTTAAATGCGCTTTACATATGAGAACTTTTAAATTTGTAAGTTAATATATTTTTAAAGCAAAAGCAATATTCCAATTAGATTTTTTTAAAACGTGTATTTGTAGATTAATAGCAAAGTGATCGACCCGCGTCTGAAAGACGCGTAGGAATGTGATTTATTGAGAAATGGGGAGGAGGTAATTTTCCGCTATTTAATCAAAACTGGTCTAACAAAAATTATACAAAAAATTATGAAGATTATTTTTACTACCAGCTACCTGAAGAAAGTTTTTTACTAAAATTGAACGACAGGTTTTTTTCACAAAATTTTTTTTTAATTTGAAAAATACACAATTTTCAAGGCTTAGATAATTCATAGTTTTTCAGTTCAAGGGCTTTAAAAATTGTTTTGATGATATGTATATAAAACAATTGACTACGTTTTTGTGTTAAATGGTTAAAGGAATAAGGCAATGAAATTTGACGTTTATATCTAACCTGGCTTTTTGAAAATCAAGGTCTAAGTGGTTCATTGATTAAAAATTTTCTCTCCTTGTAAACAACAAAAGGGGGGTAACTTTTGGAAGTTCCTGTCCAAAAACCACTCGAACAATTTTGTCCAAAATGTGCATACATGTAGTAGATATAGTCATATTCTAAATATACAAAAATAACGAAAACTAAAGGACAGGAATTTTTTTGGGTAGGTGTGTTGTACCTCCTTAAAGTGAAAGTTGCGAGTATTTCGGATGAGGCCCTAGGCCTGTACAACAGTGCAAGCGACCGTGGACATTTCCATTGAAGTTATTAGAAATGTTGGCGAGTGCTCCCAAACATTCACCCTGTTGAAAAAACCTGCGGTTCCACAACAAATCTTGGTACGAATTTCCTAGTAATGGTTTATGCTAAGAGTCCTTCACCAGAATTTGATGACGACTCTACAGAGTATAAGCGTGAAAGTATTTGAATGAGCTGGGATGTAAAACGACATTCAATCAATCATTTATTTGTAATTTGAAGGTCTACTTTAATCTACTTTTTCCTTTTCAAAAGGTTGATAATATGGATGTTTCATATTCAACTGATTTTTTCACATTTGTTTTTCATTTTGAAAAGAATGTTTTAAATAGATGTATTGATGGTGGTCCCTAGGTTTTCAAAAGATGACAGAGACAATTCGAACGTTAGATCGGTATGAAGAACCCACACATATATATGTAAAAGAAAATGTAAGCCTTTTGATAAAGTTGAGTACGCATTTTACCAATTCTCTAAAAAAATTACTTAGGAGCGTTTGGGGTTCTTGAATCTCTGGGATTTTATTGTAATCTTAAAGAAACCGGGAATGGCTATTGACCATCCCGGAGACATGGGTGCCTCGAGCTCAAAGTTTGTTTTTCGAAAAAAAAATCTTATATATATATTTTTCTTTTTTAAACGCTGTCAGTTCAATTTCAGAAACAGTATTTAATTAACTCTCCACTCGCAAACATTTCTCTAAAAAGATATAAGAAATTGATTTACTAACTGCGAATCCTATATGGACAAATGCATATAATTATATAGAAATGTAAAAAATATAGTCTATCTGCATATATTCATTAAGAGATTTATCATTCTATGAATGCTTGAAACATGTGATACTTTAATTTTAATTATGTGAAACATAATTTTAATTATGTTATTGACATACAGATTGATATATGCAGCGAGACGATGAAAACAGGAAAAGCAGTCAATTTTTGCCCAGAAGATGTAGAGTCTATGCGGCTAAGATCAAAGGAAAAAATGTGTGAAGATATGCATGATTCTTGTACCGAAGACCCGTTGGTGTATCATTGTGTGCGGTTTGGAAATAGACTCATCGAAGTGTGTGCTCCAAGGAATTTTATCACAGGTAAACACATACCGAAAACCATGTCGTATTTTTTTAATCAACGTAATTTTAAACATTTTATGTTTCTTTATTTGATATACCTAATGAACTGGTCATAAAATGAATTTTATCAGAGTATCTATGCATTTTAGGAAATCTTGGTTGGGACTTTTTATTATAATTTTTTTTTGTAGGAAACTGTTGTGTACAGTTCAACGAGGGAGTGGGTCGTATTGTAGAGGATTATAACGTACCTTGTTCAGAGTGTCCTTTTCATTACTATTCGAATGAATCATTAACATGTAAGTACGAAGTATGATTTATTTTCATTTTCAAAAAAATAAATAAATAAATAAATAAAATAAATTAAAAAAAATTAAGAGAGTAATATCAAATATCTAAATGATTAAGAATTTTCTGTCTTCAATGTCGATTTTAAGACACTTCTTTACATTGGGGATTCTTATTAACGAAAGAAAAGGGCGTTGAGTAAGCAGTAAATTATTTTATTTTAAAGATATATCACAGAGGAAAAAGAAAATTCAATAAAAACAGACTTCTTTGCTTAATTTTTATACCCCTATATAATGAAAACTACTAAATACATCTCGTGTGTTTTTTCCAGATCAAACCTGTTTTCAATCAATTAAATCAATGGCTATTCTCGAGAATTCTATCGAATCAACATTTGTGGTAACTTCCAAATCTTTAACAACTGCTGAACCCTCACCCAGATCTATGTCTTCATCTCCATCACGTAATAGAACAAAATGCAGGTCTGCATCAGGACGCCATAAACGCCAACCCAATAAAAATTGTAAAGTTTCAACAACTAATGCATATGCTATTCAATCGAATAAAACAACCAAAGCTAGCAATAACAATACAAGGTACGTTTGTTTTGTGAAATTAAGTTTAAGTTTCAAATAAATGAGAGAAGAGAACGAAACATTGTAGTACAAATAACTAATAAAACGAGAACGGCCATTACATTTTTGATATATATATTTTTTAAAATAACAGCATAATGTCCTTTTTTTGAAATAATATTCAACAGTTTTGCTAATGAAATTTTAGGGAGGGGGGGTAGTGATATAAAAAAACAATGTTTTTGTTTTTTAATATATAATATTTTAAAGATTTTACTTTAACTTGATTGAGGTTTTTGAAACGTTTCATTTATTTAGGCCTATGGGTGATGCAGATTTTACCATCATGATGGTTTTAGTTGTTGTGGCGGTGTTGATTATTATTGGAATCGGTACAGTGTTGCTAAATTTTAAAGGTATGGGCTACAAAAAAATTGATTTCAAATAATATCTGTGTATCTTAGGAGAGGAAATTAATAAGTTACAGAACTATAACTTTTTTTTTGATTTTATTTCTAGGTATTCCTAAACATAAATTGTTTTTGAAGAATTATAAAACAGATCAACCCAAGTCTGAAAGAAGCAGAGAGAGTCCCAGACGTAAAGGTAAGTCAGCATTTGGCAAAAGGAAAAGGTTTGTCTGCATTTATGTTCATAACATAAATCTGGCACCCATCAAAATAATATACAGGCGGCTCTTGTGGCCTTTATGACTAAAATCAAAGGAGAATCAATTGCATCACCAGGAAAGCTATCTTGCTTGCGATGCAAGAGGGTTTGTCAAATTTCCACATTGAAAGAGAGCTTTATCCCAAAAGTTTATTTGGGGGCTCTCTGAATGTCAAGGCCTTTTTGTTAACGACAACCTTAATGGACAGAACGTCATTGCCCTTAAGCTTCCAGAATCTAGAAACAAAAGACCGAATTCAAAACGCCCCGATTTCTTTTTTTTTGTTAAATAATATCCCATATACTCATCATGGTTAAAAAGTTTACTTAATTTGCATGAAATCGGGGAGATTCTTTAGAATCATTATTTAAAGCTAGCACACTATTAAATCACCAAAGTTCTGTATTCAATTTTCACTGCCCTTTTATTTTGATTCTAGAGGTCATTCTATATTGTTTATGTGTTTGGTATTTAAAAAAAAAGAATGTACACTTTATAAAATTAATATCAACATTTTTGCTAAAGTTTAAATAGATTTTGAAAATAAATAGCGTGTTACTTTTTCAACTGATGAAGCCATTTACATGTATTTACAGACAACTATTACATACCAGCAAGGAACGACGAACCAGAGTAAAGTCCAACTTAAAAAGTTCTGCAATTTAAAAATAATATGTAAAAATAATGTGGTGGATGTAGAATCTGGAATTGTTGATATCATGGGACGTCTTTTAACATCCAATGCTGCAAAAAGCCAAAAGCTTGGAACCCCAAGTTTTATTTTTAATTTCATTTTTACAACCCATAATGAAGCAATAATTATATTTATAAGGTTTTTTTTTACTTTAAAACATGTACATTATACATAAAAGTACAAGGGACAAATATTTTTTTATTAATATCTGTTTCTTATCAACACCTAATATAGACTTTGCTATCGACATTTAGTCTTAACAAGCGTGATTCCTATAGCATTGTTTTCTTACTCTTCGTGTTAACAAGGTATTATTATACAGTTATGGACTTCAGTGTAGGTCGATATTTGGTTATAAGGACTCCTGGCAATTGATATTGACCAAAGACACAGAGGTTGATAGCGACCGAGCCTGTGAGGTCCCTATGATTTTCTGTGTCTGAGGTCAATATGAATTGCCAGAGTCCTTATAACCACATATTGACCGTTCACTGAAGACCATAAAAGTTATATTATATAATCTCTCAAAGTTAATAAACTAACACAGCACTTACACGTACTAAACAGACTTGGCTTGGCTGTAATTACGTTACAGTGTTAAAAACACGCTTCTCATACTATGTCGCCACATTTAACGTAACTTCAGTGCAACCGAACCCTGTGTCGTGCGTTATCATTTTCCGCCCAGGCACTTTCGCATCGTTATCACAAAAGGAGGAATATCATGTGACGTCCCTTCAGCCGATGAAAATAACGAAAATAATCTTCTTATAAATATATACTTGTCAAAATTTCTAAGTCCCCACTTTTAGGTTTTCCAAAAGTTCAAAACCTTAATTTCAATGTATTAGTTACTTAGGATTTTGCCTTTAATTTGCAATACTCACCTGTCAATGCCAAAAAAAATTTAATCGAATGTGAAATAACTCGACCGTGACCGTTTTTGTTAAAAAGCATGAAGTTCGAGTTCCATATGTTTTTTTAGGGTGTATTCTTCATATTTATTACTTCCATGTGTTCTCCATCTTTAATTGATAACGAAAAACAGAAAAAAAGTTTGATTAAAATGCGGTGTTTGTCCACACATCAATGTAAAAGTAAAGTTGAAATGACCAAAGCTGGTCGTAGTTAACGAGAGTTCTGTTTCCTTTCACTGTATGACTTTATTTTACTTAAAACCTTTATAATTATCGCCCCAAAAACCTACAAAACATACCTGAATTCCTTCTAATCATTAGAAATCGCTAGTTTTCAACAAACACAACAAAATCATCCTAGAGTTTTACCCGGAAAAATAAATGGAACAGGAACCGGAATCGCCCTCCCCTCAATGTCAAACTGGAGGAGTGGGGTACACATGTAATAAGACATTATTAACTTTTGTTAGCATGGCACAGGCACTTTCGGCAAGCCCCCTTGTCATCCTAATCTCAGCCCTAATTAACATGCATGGAAGAAGATAAACCGGAGTTTGAGACAGCTTTTCCAGCAGCAGAATCTAGTGGAACTAGAGGACGACCTTGTCTCCTCTTAGATAAGCATTCAATAATTTTTTTTTCTTAAATAGTGTGAACTCTTTGAGGAACGGTTGTCTTGCTTTGAATTCGTTTGAATGGAGGATAATGCAGCATTTAATGTTGTGAATTTTTAATTCTAGGGTACCTTTACATTTCTGCATATTGTGTTAAAGTGCTTCAATAAAATAAATTAAGTGAGAAAAAATTGTATTGTTACTTTTTTATTCTGTAAACTTATTAAATTATACTGTTAAAATAATTCAATATTAAATCGGTGTAAAGCAATAACTTGCCCGGGGACTTAAAATTTTTGACTAGTATATGTAATTAATGCATATCACCTATTGCATATTCAAAGTTTATATCAATTTATCAACAACCTTCAATGATAAACGTGATGACTTCAGCTTTTCAACCGTCAGCTTCCGTACTTATGCATCGATATACCTTCATCACCTACATACAGAGTTTGTATAGCTTAGTTTATTCGATAAGCAAGCAAGAGAATTCTCTACCTATACACAATTTTTAAACAGAGGTAAATTATTTTAATATATATCAGGTGGACTTTAGAATATTGCATTATTACTCATAGGCTTGCCTAGTGTTGTATAGTGTTTTAAAGAGGCATCCAGTTGAAAATTTATAACAAATGTTTTTTTGTTCATGCTATTTATTTATTTTTTTCGTTTATTTGATTTAATGATGCGATGCACATTGCACTTTGCATATAAACAAATGTTGTTTTTGCATTACTAGACGATCTAGCTAGATATTGTTGTATAATTGTGAGAAATAAAAATTGTAGTTTCTAGGTTATAGTGAAAAGCAATAATTTTTAAACGATTCTCTTCTGTTCTTTGGCTGACACAGTACTCATCTACAAGTATATGGCAATTTTAAAAAAGAAATGAATCCCTTATCATCATTTTATTTTTATTGAGATGAATATTAACACTATCTTCACTACAACATCATGCATTTTATATCAGGAATTTGCATACAAAATTAGAACAAATATGATTGCACCCATGAGAAAAGGGTGCTTATGACATTTTTGATAAAACAGAGAAATTACGTCATAAAGATATGACGTTACAGACTGACGGTGAACTTCGACTCAGATTTTTTTTTTATTCACGTGTTTTGACGTTTGACGCATCCAGAGTTTTTATCGCTGTTTACAACGTGTAGAATTTATTTTTCCTTTGTAAATTAATTTAATTAATATTTGAATCTCCTAATCTACTAATTTTAATAGATATAAATAAAAAATTAGAACTGGTAATTTAACAAACATATATCTAATACCTATACATACATACGATGTAGTTTTCAGGTAGGCCTACATGGCATATATGTATAAAGAAGCTGTCGACAAGGTTTTTTTTCTGATAGGATAATAAACCTGTATACTTAAGATAAAAACATTTTATTTACATAATTTTGTATAATTATTTATACCAGATTTAGAATACATGTTAGACATGGTTTATTGTTAAAATAGTGCAAAGGAAAATTGTCTTCCTTTTTTTTTGAGATCTGCTCCACCACTCTCAACATACATCGCGATGGCGTCGATCACATGTAAACATTGATTCATTGGTGCATACTGCAAAAATTTTTGTAAATTGTTTGTATTAATGTTGAAACTTAACATACATCTTCCACGTTTTAACAAGTAAAGCAAAAATGTGTAGAACGACAGTCAAAATATTTGTATTTTCTATAAATAAAAAATAAGAGAGATAACTCTGATGTCAACAATCGATGTAACAGGGGTACCAGAGAGGGAAATTCACAATTCAGCTGCATGTTCGCATGAATTTGCTCTCGGATTATAAAAGAGACCTTATATAACCAAATAAAAACACTTTTAATTGTTAGCATAATTATGATTTTTTTTAATAAGAAATATTGTTGTACTTTGGCAACAAGGTCTTGTTGAAAATTAAAGAAAAAAAAAAAGAAAAAAAAACTATAAAAATGAAATTATTTTTTTCTTTCAAATCTCTTATCTATAGCTTTTTTGTGCATGAAATAATTCAATAATTTTTGTTATTATTATTGTTGTTAATTTTTATTATTATTTTTTTTAATTACCGTATCATTTATCATAATTAAATATGAAAGTTGTTTAGTCTTATTTTCTTGTTGCACACTGATCATGAAAAATTAAAAACAAGCAAAAACATCCGAATGTAAGAGAGAGAGAGGATGGAGGGGATGGAGGATATATTGAATTTATTTATCTAACTTTGAGAAATATGAAACTTTATTGGAAAGGATAAGTTATCAAAACAAACAAAATAAGAAAATACTGTAAAATGAAAGAAAACATTTTTTTGGTTCTCTAAACTACATGTATGGCTATTTATTTTCAAGATCTCCAGATTAAAATAAATGTACATGTAACTCTTTGGTACTTACGTATTGTTTTTCCCCTTGTATACATAGTTCAAATATTTTAAGCATTATCTGCAAATTAATCCCTACGGCCAATAAGAACTTTGTCTTTTACAAAAGCTCGATTAACATTGAATGTCTCTTTACAAATCAATTACCGGTATCATGCTCAATACCCAATTCATCGTTAGACGTATAATATCATTGCAGTTATCAGTGTGGAATATATTGTTTAACCTGCCATCAAATTATAGATAAATATTATTATATTAGCACATAATATTATTTTATTTGTTTTGATTGGTAAAAAAAATCTTTTAAAGTTCAGGATCAGGTTTTATTTTTACATATAAATGCTGACAGAAGATAAAAATCAATGCTAAAAAAAACTCGACATAAAACAGCAACAATATGCTTGCATTTTGTTTTGTTTTGGTCGCAGTGCAGGGGATGAGGCTGAAGTTGTCCTTCTATATTTCCTTAACATATTAGACTCTACAAGGCTTAGCATATCCAAGCTTCTGGCAACGGACCAGAATGGAATTCATACTCTGTAAAACTCATTTATGAAATAAATTTAAATTAAGAAACAAAATCATTAGAATGGAGGATGAATTTTCTAAGATGTTTACATCCCTACAATTTGACATATCAAAACTTAGCCAGTTCACAGACAATTTTCAGGAAATATATTATATAAAACTGTCATATTTTACTTACTGTACGTATTTTTGACATGAAAAAATACAATCATGTTATTAATTTCTATCCACACCTACCCAAAGAAAATCTATACATTAAACAGTGTGATTCATAAAAATTACAATATAGAGTTATCATTGATTTGTCTACTATATATTTTTTTATTAATGAGAAATAAAAATATCGAAGAAATTTTGTTCGTAATTCTTAATAAATTTATTCAAATGGCACCTGTGAAATTAAAACTTTGGAATGAAAAAAATATCGTGTTCATAAGAATTGTAGGTTTCTGACAATTAGATTTACTACCACCCCCCCCCCCTCCTCACCAACACCCACATAATCCTACCAATGTTAATCCTTGATCTATCTACTAGTATTGTGTAAGTGTGTGTGGATCATAAATCATTCAATTGTTTATAAAAATTCCACCTTTTTGATTGGTAAATATTAAAACATTCTTTCTGCTAGACTGAAAAATATTTCGTGTATCCTTAATAATTTTCAAACAGCAGTGTCATTTTTGATCCTGTGCAGACAGAAAACCTTAAAGATGCAGTGAATTAACCGAAATTCCTTTTTTTAATATTCACTGTCTATTGTATATAGTAATAGCATGTTACCGCACTTCACAATTTTTCTGTCTTTAAATAAAATTTAGGGAAAAAAGATCATATTTTTCACTTCACAGTAATATTTAGGTATAGGGTATATGCTAAGTACTTATTAATTGAAATTACTATTTCTGTTAATACTTAAATGATTTTTTTTTTGGAATGACCATCTTCAATACTTAGGGTACAGGTTTGCCAGACTGGCTGTGTAGAGGTATCATCCCCTGGTGCCCTTTGTATTCAAGAAGCACTAGTTTTATATATTAGAGTATTGCCATTACTACAAGATTTTTTTTTTTAATTTACCTTATATCTATCATTTTTATTTAATTGTGTTTTCTTTTATCATTCGATGGTTTCTATGCTATTGATCCAGTGTGGTGATGTACTTCTCAATGTCAAACTTAATCACGTCATGTTACATTATCCTTGATATAGAATTGTAATCAATGTTATCATTTTGTAATAATTGTTCATGCCCCCCTTGGGCCCTTGATTGGTGAATAAACATAATATATAATACTGTTGTTTCATATGTAATTATTTAAAAATTAATTTTCACATATATGGTAACTTAAGATATATCGTTGTATGCCGAATTCAGGCAAAACAATTACATCTTGACCTATTGAGAGCAATGTTTAAATTAAAATAATTTTTTTTTTATAAATTCTACAGCTTATCAAATGACTCTTACATGGATTACTAATAAACATGGTTAATATTTTGTTTGAGAAAATCATTATTTAAAACAAAAACCTGAATGGATTTCACCCGCCGTTCAGGTCTCCCCCCGGTGTCATAGAAAAGTGAAATGTAAAACAAAGACTCACTCATAATACGATACACCACTGATGAATCCATTATATATATAACTATTAAATAATTATCAATAACTAAAAGAGACAATGAGACAAAAATAATGTGCATGGGTAATTAATGTAAAATTATAGAAGAAAATCATTTTACGTTCACTCTGAAAACGCTTGACGTTGTTGAAAAACATGACGTCATTATGAACTGTTAAAGTATCTTTGATATTAATGATGAAGAAACCTACTTAGAGTAGAC